CTTGTTGGGGTGAGATGATATCTCAATGTAGTTTTGATCTGCATTTCTCTAATGGCTAATGATCATGAGCATTTCTTCATGTGTCTGTTAGTCACCCAAATATGTTCTTTGGTGAAGTGCCTGTTCATATCCTTAGCCCATTTTTTAATTGGGTTATTTGTCTTTTTGTTGTTGAGGTTTTGCAGTATCTTGTAGATTTTAGAGATTAGAAACTGATTGGATTTTTCACAGCCAAAAATTTTTTCCCAGTCTGTAGATTGTCTTTTTACTCTTTTGGTGAAGTCTTTTGATGAGCATAGGTGTTTGATTTTTAGGAGCTCCCATTTATCTAGTCTCTTCTGGTGCTTGTGCATTGTTACTTATGGTTCATATTATGTTTATCCCATAAAATATTAGCAATTTTTAAAGCTAAAATACAGGGCTGTCACCAAAGGGGAATAGACTAAACACAACTGTATAATAGTTATACTCAGGATGCCCATGAACACTCACTCAAAAACTAAGTTCAAGTAATCTGACAAGGAAACACAGGCGGGTGGAGTTATTTAAAAGGGGAAGAAGCTATGTGTGTTGATGTATTTTAGTCAGAGTCTTTTCTTTCCAAAACATTTCCTTTCTTTCTCAAATCAATTTTCGTTTTTCCATGCCACCATCTGCTCCTTGTCTATATGCATACTCAATTTCAACATAGTTATAATAATATCTTAGATGGTGTTTATAATTTATATTTTAAAGTCATGCATATTTTTTCCATTTTGTGGTTTCATTAATCCTCAATCAATAATTAATATTTATAGATCAATATGCATCCTTCCACTCTTTTATACTGAGATGATCTTAGAAAATAGCATACGCAATCCATTCTTTTTTGTTGGTGGTGATGAAAATATACAGTAGAAAATATATACCACTTCAACAACTTCTACATGTACAATTTCGTGACGTTGGTTATATTGTTCAGGTTGTACCACCTTTGTCGATATCCTTTTCCAAATTATTTCACCATCATTAACACAAACTCACTGCTCCCTATGCCTCTCATATAACCTTTCAAGTTGCTGTTATCAGTTTGATAATTCTTTAAAAGATAATTCTTGAAAAGAGCACAATGTTCAAGGCAGATACAATTAAGCTAAACTATTGTGTGGTTTAGAGATGATTTCAAGGGATAGTTTTGGTTTAAATATTTTCTCAGGGTAATATTTTCAGGGGATCACCCAGCCTCAATGGCTCTAGAAAGTTTGGATTCCATGAGAATTAAAAATTCTATTCCTCATTTTCTCCCTTTTGATCAGAAATCTTCTACAGAATCTTTGATCAAAATGTTCAGTAATGGTAGACAATTAATTCTTACAAAATGTCAGAATAAACCTGGAGCCTACATATATACTCTCGTCCCTCCTTTAACCCTGTTAAATCCAGATTTCCAACTCAATGTTAAAAAAAAAAAAAAATCTGTCTTAGTTAAAAAGATATGCACATTCTTTGAACAACGGAAATGTTATAATTTATTAGGAAAGTTTAAAATCTGTTTTGTTTATGGTTTATAGCCAGTGTTGTTGTTGCTGTTTCTGTTGTTTTAAGAAATTCTATCCTTCCTGAAGTAAATGGGCAGGAATGCAATAGAACTTTTAAAAGGAAGTAAGAGAAATGCAGGAACAACTATGTTTGGAAGGTGGACTTTTAAATTTCAGTTAAGCAAGTACTTCTGGGGTGAGGGAACCTTAGGTACAAAGGCTAAGTTAGGTAATGGCACATTGGTAAGGCCCTTCTCTAGTTGTCATTATTGTTTATTCTCTTACATCTCCATATCTCACTTCTATTCCCCTCCTCCCTGAAAGCTACCATTCTAATGTGTTTTATGTTTATTCTTTTGTTTGTATTTATTCTTGCAAAAACATACTTTATGATTTTGTGTGCACATACTTTTAATTTATTTAAGTGCTACTGTTGTAAATCACTTTTTTTTCATACTTTTTAATTTAGAACTGTTTTTCAAGATCCATCCATGTTGATGTTCCTCTAATTTATTGCTACTAACTGCTACATGATGATTCATGGGGTTCATCTACCATATTTTACCTCTGTGCTTGCCCATCATCCCAAGAAATGCCACACTGAGTACTCTCCTATCTATCCCCTTATACATGTGTGCAAGTACTTCTGGGAGCAGAAATACTGAATCATTTGGGTGGGCAAATACTTAATTGGTGCAAGATTAAACTTCAGAATGGCTGAGCCAGTGTGCACTCCCACCTGTAGTGCACAAGGGTTCCTCTGCCCCCCTTGTCTTTGCTAACATTTGGTATTACAGGCATACTTCATTTTACTGCATCTTGCTTTATTGCGCATTGCAGATATTGCTTTTTTTTTTTTTTTTAACAAATTGCAGGTTTGTGGCAGCCCTGCATCGAGCAAGTCTATTGGTGCCACTTTTCCAACAGCATGTGCTCACTAGGTGTCTCTGTGTCACATTTTTGTAATTCACACAATATTTCAAACTTTTTCATTATCATTATATCTATTATGGTGATCTGTGATCAGTGATCTTTGATGGTATTATTGTAATTATTTTCGGGCACAACAACCGCGCCCACATAAGATAGCACTTAATCGATAAATGTTGTGTGTGTTCTGACTGCTCCTCCAACTGGCAATTCCCCTGTCTCTCTTTCTCTTTGGGTCTCCCTATTCCCTGAGACAGGACAATATTGAAACTAGGGCAATTAACAACCCTACAATGGCCTCTAAGTGTTCGAGTGAAAGGAAGAGTCACATACCTCTCACTTTAAATCAAAAGCTAGAAATAATTAAGCTTAGTAAGGAAGGCATGTCAAAAGCCAAAAGCTAGGCCTCTTGTGCCAACAGTTAACCAAGTTGTGAATGCAAAGGAAAAGTTCTTGAAGGAAATTAAAAGTGCTACTTCAGTGAACACACAAATGATAAGAAAGTGAAAAAGTCTTATTGCTGATATGGAGAAAGTGTTAGTGGTCTGGATAGACAATCAAAACAGCCACAACATTCCCTTAAGCCAAAGCCTAATCCAGAGCAAGGTCCTAACTCTGTTCAGTTCTATGAAGACTGAGAGAGGTGAGGAAGCTGCAGAAGAAAAGTCTGAAGCTAACAACAGAGGTTGGTTCGTGAGGTTTAAGGAAAGATGCTGTCTCCGTAACATAAGAGTGAAACAGCAAGTGCTAATGTAGAAGCTGCAGTATGTTATCCAGAAGAGCTAGCTAGGATAACTGATAAAGGTGGCTACACTAAACAACAGATTTTCAATGTAGACAAAACAGCCTTATATTGGAAGAAGATGCCATCTGGGACTTTCATAGCTAGTGAGGCGAAGTCAATGCCTGGCTTCAAAGCTTCAAAGGACAGGCCAACTCTCTCGTTAGAGGCTAATGCAGCCAGTGACTTTAAGTTGCCAGTGCTCGTTTACCATTCCAAAAATCCTAGGGCCCTTAAGAATTATGCTAAATCTACACTTCCTGTGCTCTATAAATGGAACAACAAAGCCTGGATGACAGCACATCTGCTTACAACATGTTTACTGAATATTTTAAGCCCACTGTTGAGGGCTACTGCTCAGAGAAAAAAGATTCCTTTCAAAATACTACTGCTCATTGACAATATGCCTGTCACCCAAGAGCTCTGATGGAGATGTACAAGGAAATTAATGTTGTTTTCATGCTTGCTAACACAACATCCATTCTGCAGCCCATGGATCAAGGAGTAATTTTGACTTTCAAGTCTTATTACTTAAGAAATATACTTCATAAGGCTATAGATGCCATAGGGAGTGATTCCTCTGATGGACCTGGGCAAAGTAAATTGAAAACCTGCCGGAAATGATTCACCATTCTAGATGCCATTAAGAACATTCGTGATTCATGGGAGGAAGTCAAAATATCAACATTAACAGGAGTTTGAAGTTGATTCCAACTTTCATGGATGACTTTGAGGGTTCAAGGCTTCAGTAGAGGAAGTAACTGCAGATGTAGTGGAAACAGAGAGTTAGAAATAGAAGTGGAGCCTTAAGATGTGACTGAATTGCTGCAATCTCATGATCAAACTTTAATGGATGGGGAGTTGTTTCTTACAGATGAACAAATTAAGTGGTTTCTTGAGATGGAATCTATTCCTGGTGAAGATGCTTGAACACTACTGAAATGACAACAAAGGACTGAGAATACTACATAAGCCTAGCTGATAAATCAGTGGTAGGGTTTGAGAAGACTGACTCCAATTTTGAAACAAGTTCTACTGTGGGTAAAATGCTACCAAACAGTATCGCATGCTACAGGGAAATCTCTCGTGAAAGGAAGAGTCAATCAATGTGGTAAACTTTATTGTTGTCTTATTTTAAGAAATTGCCACAGCCACCCCAACCTTCAGCAACCACCACCCTGATCAGTCAGCAGCCATCAACATCAAGGCAAGACCCTCCACCAGTAAAAAGATTATGACTCGCTTAAGGCTCAGATGATGGTTAGCATTTTTTATCGATCAAGTATTTTTTAATTAAGATATTCACTTTTTTTTTAATATATAATGCTATTGCACACTTAACAGACTACAGTATAGTGTAAACGTAACTTTTATATGCACCGAGAAACCAAAAACTTCATTTGACTCACGTTATTGCAATATTTGCTTTACTGTGGTGGTCTAGAACTGAATCCGCAATATCTCCAAGGTATGTCTGTATTTGACTTATTCATTTTGGTAGGAGCCCTGGTGGCACAGTGGTTAAGAGCTCAGGCTGCTAACCAAAAGGTCAGCAGTTCAAATCCACCAGTCGCTCCTTGGAAACCTTATGCAGGCATTTCTACTCTGTCCTATAGGGTCTCTATGAGTCGGAATCGACTCAGTGGCAATGGGTTTGGTTTTGGTTTTTAATAGGTATAAGGATTCTCTGGGTGGTGTAAACGGTTAAAACATTCAGCTGCTAAGAGAAAGGTTGAAGGCTCAAGTTCATCCAGAGGTGACTCAGAAGAAAGGCCTGGTGATCTACTTCCAAAAAAATCAGAATCAATTTGACAGCAACTGTTTTTTAACAGGCATAAAGTAGTATCTTATTTTTTTTTACTTATTTTGCATTTTTCTAATTACTAATGAGTATGTGCATTGTTACTATACTTATTAGCCTTTTGAGTTTTCTTTGCTATAAATTCTACATATTCTTTGGTAATTTTTCTATAGGAGTTGTTTTGCTTTGTTTCATTCTTATGCTTTGCAGGAGTTCCTCACATATTCTATATATTGAGTTTATTAGTTTTACACAGTGCACTTATCTTGTCCTAGTCTGTCTACTATCATGTCTGACCATGGTGCCCTTCATGAAACAGAAATGCATAATCTTGAAGTAAACATTCATCGATTTTCTTTGCCTTGTGTGTGGTTTGTGTTTTTGAAGTTCGTTTGTTGTTTTCTTTTTAAAGAAGTCTTACGTTCTATGCTCCTGAGTCATAAAAATATTTTGGTACAGCTTGATTAAGGATCAAGAGAGATAGTAGAAAAGGGAATAGAAGACACTTTTTTTAAAAAAAAATATTTTACTATATTTTATTCTATTAGCTTTATAATTTTTCCTTTTACATTAGGTCTTTAATTCATCTGGAGTCTACCTTTCAATGTGATATTAAGTACAGATCTAGTTGCTGGGTTTTTTTCCCTCCAAATAGTGAGCCAGTTTTTCCAATTCAACTAACTGAACAATGTGACCTTTTCCCAATATATGGCATGATTATTAAGCTCATTACATTTCTAGGCACCTGAATCTTGCAGAAGAGGAAACAGTCTATTTTTTTCAAACTGCTCACTATCACTTTGAGACGTGAAGAGTAACACCCATGGAAATGATCAGCATAATATGACAAAACTGAAGACTAAGTTGTAGGTTGTAGACGACAAATACAGAAGAACTTCAAAGGAAAGGAAGACCAACAAGGGTTCCCATGGTCAGGAAAGGATTTGTATTATTTTACCCCTATGTAAATGAGACAAGTGTTTCTCTCCTCCCATCCTCCCACCACCACCGAGTTAGCTTTAAAAGAATTACAGAAAGAGTTTCTGCCTTATCCTGAGACGCTTCTGTTTACTGATGCTAAATGCCAGTGAATAGACAACCAATAAAGACAGGTTGGAGGTCCTGTTCTTCCTCACAGTTTGAGATTTTCTGATGTGAATACAAGCAGAGATGCAAGAGTAAAATGAACTCATGCTCAGATTCTGCTAAAACCCATCCCAACTCCAAGTTCTCTGAGATAATAGCACAGACATATCTCATCTGTCATCTCATCCTTCAGAGATACCAGTAATTCATGGTACCCCCAAATAAGTAGGTCATTTTCATTATTATTCAAATTTTATAAGTTTAGGTAGGGTCACTGTATTAGTGAGGGTTCTCCAGAGAAACAGAAGCAATAGGATATATACCCATTGCCATCGAGTCAATTCCTATTCATAGCAACCCTATAGAACAGAGTAGAACTGCCCTATAGGGTTTTCAAGGCTGTAATCTTTACAGAAGCAGACTGCTACGTCTTTCTCCCATGGTGGCTTCGAACCACTGACCTTTCAGTTAGCAGTCCAGTGCTTAACCACTGCACCACCAGGGATCCTGATTAAGACCTTGACTGCTAACCAAAAGGTTAGAGGTTCGAATCCACTACCCACTCCTTGGAAACCCTATGGGGCAGTTCTACTCTGTCCTATACAGTTGCTATGAGTCAGAATCAACTGGATGGCAACAGGTTTGGTTTTTGGTTTATATACATATATATACACACACACATATACATATACACACACAGACATATGTATATATATACATATATGTATTTACCTATATGGTTTCAAATTATAAGTTACTTATATGGTTTCAAATCTCTCCACCTTCATTTCTCAGCTATGGGAACCTAACTTCAGAGGTCTAGTGTTCTAAAATGTTATATTAAAGGTATTAAAGATGGTTGATGAATATATTTGCATATGTACGTCTAGCATTTGAAGCTGAAGAAAATTAGAGGAAGTCCATGAGAGCCAAAATATGACCTTAGGTATATCCCACCTAAATTTAGAGACCATCTAAAGAATAGATTTGACGCACGGAACACTAATGACTGAAGGACAAGTTGTGGAATGACATCAGGGACATCATACATAAAGAAACAAAAAGTCATTAAAAAGATGGGAAAGAAAGAAAAGACCAAAACGGATGTCAGAAGAGACTCTGAAACTTGCTTTTGAATGTAGAGTAGCTAAAGTGAAAGGAAAAAGTGATGAAATAAAAGAGCTGAGCAGAAGATTTCAAATTGTGGCTCGAGAAGACCAAGTAAAGTATTATAATGAAATGTGTAAAGACCTGGAGTTAGAAAACCAAAAGGGAAGAACATGCTCAACATTTTTCAAGCTGAAAGAACTGAAGAAAAAAATCCAAGACTCAAGTTACAATACTGAAGAATTCTACGGGGAAAACATTGAATAACACAGGGAGTGTCCAAAGAAGATGGAAAGAATAAACAGAGCCATGGTACCAAAAAGAATTGGTTGACATTCCACCATTGCAGGAGGTAGCATATGATCAAGAACCAATGGTACTGAAGGAAGAAGTCCAAGCTGCACTGAAGCCATTCGCAAAAAACAAAGCTCCAGGAATTGACGGAATAACCATGGAGATGTTTCAACAAAGGGATGCAGTGCTGGAGGTGCTCACTCATCTATGTCAAGAAATTTGGAAGAGAGCTACATGGCCAACCAACTGGAAGAGATCCATATTTGTGCCCATTCCAAAAAAAGGTGATCCAACTTAATGCGGAAATTATCGAACAATATCATTAATATCACATACAAGTAAAATTTTGCTGAAGATCATTCAAAAGTGGGTTCAGCAGTATATCAATAGGGAACTGCCAGAAGTTCAAGCCAGATTCAGAAGTGGACATGAAATGAGGGATATTATTGCTAGGGTCAGATGGATCTTGGCTGAAAGCAGAGAATACCAGAAAGATGTTTACCTGTGCTTTATTGACTATGCTGTCATTCAACTGTGTGGATCATAACAAATTATGCATAACATTGTGAAAAATGGGAATTCCAGAACACTTAACCCGTACATAGACCAAGAGGCAGGCATTTGAACAGAACAAGGGGATACTGTGTGGTTTAAAATCTGGAAAGCTGTGCATCAGAGTTGTATTCTTTCACCATATTTATTCAATCTGTATGCTGAGCAAATAATCCAAGAAACTGGACTACCTGAAGAAGAATGGGGCACCAGGATTGCAGGAGGACTCATTAACAACTTGCAATATGCAGATGACACAATCTTGCTTGCTGAAAGT